ATAATCCAGGCCCGAATTAACACAACGGCAAAAGCCCAATCCTTGCCCAAAACCCCCAGGCACAAAGCACAACTTCCTCAGGACGTTTAGGAGTCAGGTGGTTCGGGGAGAGGCGTTTAGTAAGTTTGAGGCTTTAAGGGCTGGGTGTTGGGGTTTATAAACTCGACCTAGACTAGATTGCAATCCGCAACTCGTTTGAAACCGCAAAACTTGCAGCTGCAGACCCCCCCCCCCCGCCCCCTGTGGGTCTGGGGTTTTGGAGTTCGGGCTCAAGGTTCTCAGCCGACACCCCGAGGAGAACTGTTCTAGGCATGCTGCCAGTTGAGTCGTGCCTTCACCAAGCGTCCCCATACCCATCTCGCTGCGGAAACGGAAGCATAGTGATTACCATTGTGGGTTGCTCAGGCTCGTCTGTAGTCCTCCACAGAATCTGGATGTGGAGCTCAAGTCAGACTTTCCAAACCCGAAGCCCATGCACCCGAGAAGCCCTGAGCCCCAATTGGTGAAGGACCCTGCAACCCTGAACCCTGCGTGACTTCGGCCATTCCCAACTGGCATTGGTATCCTGCTTTTAGCATGAACACCGCAGGCAACAAACGCACTCGTTTCACGAGATGCAACTACAAATTCGGATCCAGGTGAGTGCAAAGCCTGGGAATGCATATATAACCCTGTAGTGCAGCGTAGGATACCCCACATCATGAATGAACTGACTTGACTTGCCAGAGCCACCTCCTCATAAAAAAACCAAAGCACAAGCCCGGGCCAAGCCCGAGAAGTCTCAAACATGCCATCGGACCCACACTGGAAACTGTCAATGCTTCAAGAAACAGCTTAGGCTTGGGGGCTGGGGGTTGTGGGCTTCCGAAGGCGTCCAATGAAACCTAAAGACACAAGGACAAGCTGCATAAAGCCAAAGCCCTACAGCCTAACCATCAACCAACCAGACCACACCCCACTATGGCAGCCATGCACTCACTTAGCGAACCAAAGTCACCCGAGGATAGCCTTCCTCTCGGGACATCGCTCAAAAACTGACTCAGGGTTTCGAGCTTGGGGCCTGTTTTCTGGGGTCTTAGAGTCTAAGCTCCGTTTCAATCCCGAGAGTCTGAAAAAGCCACATGGATCTGTACAGATGGCTGCAGCTGCCCTCGGACGAAGATCTCTAGCATTCTTTGCCCCTGAAGTCCGGATCATTTGGAACTTTTGCGGCATGGAACCTCCGGAAATCTAGCAAGTGTTGGTCGGCAATGGATGGCTCCCATGGTACACCCATTTGAAGAGGGTGACAGAACGCTCACTGGTACTATGTTGACCCATGTTGGTGACGGTAAACGCTGCGGAGATCATCCGAGACGTACTAGCCGGAAGGTACTTGGAGGATCGTGGGACTTAGTAACTAGGGTTCTGAATAAAGTAACTGTACTTATAAGTAATTATAACCCCCATAAGGTAGTTATAACCTTACTTACTAAGTCCCATGATCCTCCAAGTAGTATTCGTAGCAGCATTACAACCAGGACGAACAACTGTCCACAGCCCTGCGATGTCCCGGACTTCACAGGCCTGCCCCCTGGGGCGTGCGCCCCAGGCAACAGAGAAAACGCCTCACCTAGTGCCCTGCAATGATTAGGATGGGCCTCCGAGAACAAAGGGCAGAAGATACTAAGCAAAGGGGCCCTAGTAATTAGAATAGGGTTCGGGGATTCCGAACTAGAATTATAGTATAATATACCCCAAAACCCTGTTCTAATTATTAAGGCCCCTACTTTACTGTCCCTGAGCCCTAACCTGTAAACTCCTCGAGGGACCAGAAGATTTTGGGACCAGAAACCCAAAGACTCCAATACCTCTTAACTAAGGAACATACCTTAAATCTTATTAGGGATCCTACTATAAGCCCTAAACCCTAAACCCTAAACTATAGTTTAAGGTATATTCCTTAATGAAGGGGGGTTGGAGTCTCTGGAAAGCCTGAGCCTTGGCAGACCAGCCGATCTCCCGCCGAATCCAACTCATACAAAGCCCGGTTTAGGGTTTAGGGTTACAAAGCCCTGAACCCTAAACCCAAAACCCCAAAAACCTGAACCCCAAAACCCCAAACCCCAAAAACCTGAACCCTAAACACCTAAAGTAGCCCCAAAAATCCTGAACCCCAAAACCCCCAAACCCCCAAAAGCCTCAACCCTGATCTCAACCACCAGCCGCAACATTCAGGAAGCGGCCCCCTAGGGGGTGAAGCAAGACTGGATCCTAGGGCTGTGGTAATATACTCCTGTATGAGAACATCAATTAGAATAGGGGTTTGGGGCTCCTTTAAAGGGTTCCTTAAAGGGTTCCATACGGGCTACTATAAGGATTTCGGGTTTAGGGGCCTTCATAATTAGAATAGGATGTTGGAGTATATTATACGCTTGTTCAAAGAACCTGCGCATGCTGAAGCATCAACCTTGACCCCAGACTCAGTTCTTAGATAGGTTCTTCTGAAGAAAGACCCTACCCATGCCTCCTCCCTAAAATCACTGTAAACATCAGAACCGGCAGGCTCTCAAGCTCCACTTTTGGTCTCTGTCATGTGGAATGCGGGCTGCGTTTTCCTCGGCTGCTGCACGGAAAACCCAAACGAAGGCAGGCACTGGTCTGTGTATGCGCCCTGTGTTGATGCGGTACAGCGAACACCCTAAACCCCTAAACCCTAAACCGGTTTAGGGTTTAGGGGTTTAAGCTTTAGGTTTTAGGGGTTTAGGGTACATCTCTCAAAAGAAAACACTGAAAGACTCCCTTTTCAGTGGCATGACATGCAGCTGCTGCGCCTCGGTCTGGAACCTCTGCGCCCCCGCAATGTAGGAAAAGGAATGACGGCAAGTCAACACGTGCGTGCCTTGCGGCTGTGGATGAGCATGACAAGCCTGACCGTGCCTTGCCAGTTGAAGCAGGGCCGAAACCCTCCGAAACAAGAAGGCTTTGCACGAAGACAGAGGGATTCAAGTCGGAAGCTGAACTTGAACTGCGCAAGCGCAGCTTCGCGCGAACAGGAAGAAGAATCTCTGCACAGGGCTGGGGCATCAGTGCGAGGGAAGTGGGAGCTGCAGCAGTGCCGGCTCCTTCAAAGCAAGAAGCCTGAAACATGTAGGGGGCTGTCGAGTTCATGTTACGAAGAACACACAGTTTATCGACTTCAAGTCGAAAATTTCATCAAGATGAGCCTGAAACCCAGTGGGTGGAAGTCCAGGCATCCCGCTATGCTTCGCTCGAACATTCAGAAGTCGTACCCGAACTCCTTCCTCAAAGGTAGGTGTTCCTTTGAGAGCTTTGCACCCTGTCCCATTGTGAGAAAACTCATGTCTGACCTCGCAAGAACTGCTGACTCAAAGATCAATGTCATTGTGCGCGATAGCTCGCCACAACATCATCTCTTGAAGTCTCTTTGGGTAGTCGCGGAGAGTCACACCTGCAGGTGTTGAGCGGTTCAGCCGATGATCGGAATGCTCTAGACTTAGCTGGTCCCCCAAGCCTGAGCCCACGCGTGGGATCTGAGCCTTGCAGGCAAATGGCCGGAAGCTCCAAAGACTCCGGCAAAAGTCGGATGCTTTGCAACTGCCGGCCATTTGCCTGCAAGGCTCAGGTCCCACACGTGGGCTCAGGCTTGAGGGCCCCCAGACCCATGGACCGTCAGATGACACAGGCGCTGCATACTCCAGGGTACCAGTCTCAGACTTCTAAAATACCCCTTGACTGATGGTGTCTGAAAGTGGTACCCAAAGGTCGATGGCCTGCGCTTGCAGACACCAGTGGGAGAACGGTTGCCGACAAGAGCAAGCGGTCTTGATTTTGGGCTGACACGTGGGAGGAGTTCTCAACGTGGAAGCGTCCACATCGCCGAGGGGGCTTCTTGCAGTCTGACCTCTTGCAAAGCGCGGTCGCAAGAGTCTAAAACTCCCAGAAATTGACTTCCAAATTAGAGGTCAAATTCTGGGATTATTTATCATCCCTCACACGTCCGGCTACAGTAGGCCAAAGGCGTTGACTTCACCGCAGCGCATGACAATGCGCCTGAAACACCGGTTTACAGCGGAGTTGTGCGGTCACCCTGTGACTGCACAACTCCGCTGTAAGGCGTTTCAAGCTGGCGACATGTATGGCTTATGCATGGCCTGGCCATGGGCTGCTAAGTACGAGACAGATTTTGGGGCACTAGTAATGCCGGTCCTCTGATTCTCGAGGCATGGGGAGTCTATCGGACAGTAGGTGCTCAATATGGTCTAATGTAGGAACCTGGTTAAGAAACCCTGGCCCTATAACCCCAATATATTAAGGTCCATATCAAGAGCCCTAATAAAGGCCCTTGGTTTCGTAATCAGGTTCCGACATTCTGCAAGGTGCAAGCAAAAGGCGAAACGTTGCGAGTCTGGGGTCCACATGCCTTGGTTCTCTGCTATCGGAACCCGCCGTGTACTTTGGCTTTCGCCCAAGGAAGACAATATCATGTAGAGACCTTTTGTTTAGAATAGGGTTTTGGGGCCCCTTATACTCTAAATACTCTAAAAACAATAACGACCCCCCCCCTCCCCAATATAGTATGGAAAACTAGTAAGGCCCCGACATTAATGTACTATAAGGGTTTAGGGTTCTTTCGGGGTTCTACAAAGGTTGCTATACTACGCGGGTTACGATAAAGACAAGGAAGGGGCCAATCGATACTTCGATTTGCTCTCGTTACATCTGAAACCTGAAATCTCGGAAAGCTCTGTACCGACAGCAAGCCCACAACTGTGAGCCGGACGATGCGCCCATTCAGGATGCATTTTATGCGTATGTATACATAAAAAAGTGTACATAATTTTATACACGTACATACGGACAAATGGCTAGCGTGTGTATAGCATATTCGAAATCTCGTAGCAGGCGCGAAACGGCTTTCAATTGAGAGATTTGAAGTCCTGACTTTGAGTAGACCTCTTCAGTAGCAGTAGCAGATCAATAACCTCATGTGCCTAGAATCATAAGCCGAAGCCGACATCTGAGATCTGAAGAACGAGACGGGAGTCATCATCGTGACTTGCAGCTTCTTCGATGGGCTGCGGCTCTTGTCCACGCCTCGGCCATCGGTTTAGGGTTTAGTTTAGGGTGGTTCCGCCAATCTTTATGTGGCACGATGCGGGTTAAAACGCCCAGAACCCTCAACCGGTCTTCCTCCTCCTCCTAATCTCCTCCTACTCCGACTACACGAACTCTTGCTGCATCCCTGCAGTCGCTGCCACCCGAGCGAACAAAATCTGTGTCAACACAGCCGGCAAAAATCCAAGACACGGGCCAACAGATCTTGGAACCTAAGCCCCACGCAGCTCTTGGCTTCGAAGCCTCGAACCCCTACAGTAAATCCTAAGCCCGGAAACCCTAAACCCCCAAACCCCTAAACCCTAAACCCCTAAACCCTATACCCTAAAGCCTAAGCCCTAAACCCCAAACCCTACACCCAAAACCCCCAGCAAACTCAGACTCGCCCTGGGAGGCGCGCGGTGGCGCCTTCGTTCCAAGGGGGACATGTGCTCGAGCACCTTGGCATCGAATACAGGGGCCTTCTGAATTGGAATAGGGTTTTGGGGCTCCTTTAAAGGGTTCCTTAAAGCGTTCGATAAAGGCTACTATAAGTGTTTGGGGTTTAGGGGCCTTGTGAATTAGAATAGGGTTTTGGGGCTCCTTTAAAGGGCTCCTTAAAGCGTTCGATAAAGGCTACTATAAGTGTTTGGGGTTTAGGGGCCTTGTGAATTTGAATAGGGTTTTGGGGCTCCTTTAAAGGGCTCCTTGAAGC